GTTCTTTTAAAGGTAATGGAATTTTAAGTGTACTTCTAGATATTAAGGGGCCCTCCCACTTCTCTTCCTTTCCTTTCACTTATCTTTTAAAGGCAAGGTCTCTTACAACCCAATCAGCCTCAAACTTGCTATGTAGCCAAGGCTGAGAACTTCCAATCCTCTTGCTCCCCACTCCCAACACTTGGACTATGGGCATGTATCATCAAACCAAATATAAGGTGCTGGAGATAGAACTCTGTGCTAAACCACTGGTGTGGAAAGAGCCAGGTTTGAATTTTACATCTTTTCTCTTTTTAGTCTCAGAATGACCACTCTCAGGTCCGACCATGACCATCAAGACATCAGTGTCCCACCAAAAGAGTAACTGGGGATTTGACTTAGCAAAGCCCCAAAGTCAAATTCAACCAGGACTTTTCGTGAGTTTTCACCATAACCCATGAAAAGAACGTCACCACCATGGCATTACCCATTACAAGAGGCATTCCTCATATAACTTTTACCTTGAGAACCTGCAGTTTCCATTCCTTTCCTGTAGACTGACACTGCACTTATTCCGTCCTCATACTCAGGCTTCTCACTGTTGCTCACAGTGGGGAACTTGACAGCGGCATCCATGTTAAGCAGGTCTTCCAAGCACACAAAGACTGACAGTGGTGTTGTCATGACTCAAGAATTTCATGAGCAGGAGGGCTTAGTTCCCAGTCTGTGCCCACCCCCATGGCACAGCCCTTAGACAACTTAGGAGTTCTCAGTTAGGCAGGATGTATTTGCATTGTTGAGTGCTTTTAGGTGCCCTGGGCAGGCAGCTTCAGGATCATTGCAGGCAGATGTGTCTATACTCATCATGTGGCCTTCTGAATGGCATAGGAAAAAGGTTTCCTTTTTAGCCCTCACACAAGACAACAGATGATTTCAGACACTTGTTGGCTGTGTTACTCATCACAGCAACTTTTCCTGAGCTATTCATCATTCTGAATAGGTCTCAAGGCTGTCTCAAAAGAATAACTCCTAAAGCCCCAGGGACGAGAGCTTTGTGTAGCTGAGGAAACAGATGAAGGCAAAGGTCCTATCTGTGTTTAGTTTCCACTGTGGTATTCCAGGGCCTAAAGAGTTGCCCAGACTCAAATGAGTTCAAGTGATCAGGAGGGATTTCCCTGGCACAATTTCCTTGACCTTCACAGGGCAGCGTGCACTGAGTAAGTGCCTTGCTCTCCACTGAGTAGGTGCCTTGCCCTATAGTTCTATTCTGCAGAAGAGCAAACTCAGGGTAGGGATGAGCTCAGGTTCTCATTTGTAGTGACACTTCCCAGGACTTGGAACTCCTATTTCAGGCTTTATTCAAGAACGTGGGTTCTTTTGTTTTCCATTTAGACTTACAGAAGGCAGTCTCTTGAGATCCCAGTAAATCTCTCTATTCCTCCCTCCTGATTCTCACCAGTTCCGCATGTGTCCTCACAGACAGACAGACACACATCAGTCATCACACTGAGTTTCTTATCAATCTATCAGTTACAACACACTGAGTTTATCAGTCTTCTCAAGCAGGGTTTCTGACACAGTAGGGAATACTTCCTGGTTCTATAACTGATCTGAGTGTTGAAGGTTAGCAACATCCCTAGGGGAAGCACCCCACTTGGTGACAGCAGCACAGCTGTCCATAGATCTGACAAACCCATCTCCAGACTTGACCTAAAGCTATCTGAGCTACTGTGTTGCCCTGGCTGAGAACACCCTGAAGTACAATATAAGCAGAGCTCTGCCTTGTGATTTCAGAGTGCAGGAAGAAGACTAATATTTTAATTATCTGGTTTGATAATAAAGTAGAGGAGTAAGGACTGTTTCTTTCAGATTGTAGCGGTCCATTAAGGGATCCACAAGTTCCTGAGTACTGGAATGACAGGAATGCACCACTACGATAGCTGGAGTTTGCATTCGAGTGCCTATTATTGGAAAGGTCAGAGGCCTCTCTTTCTCCAGGCATGAGGGTAAAGGGTTTTCGGTGTGTGCCTCTTCTCACTCCAGGCACCTCTGGAACCCTGCATGCAGGGGCCACCTCTCCTTGGCAACTGGGATGTTTGCACATCTTAGTCACTTGGGTCTCTTTTCCTTGCCCCCTTTATTGAGAAAATGCTAAAGTTCTGCAAATACAGAGCAACTGTCAACACTGGGACAAGAATGAGCATTCTCAGGGTGGGCCTTCCCTATCTCAGTGGCCAACCTAAAATCTCCAGACAGCACAGAGCTGAGCAGACAGAAGCCTCAGATCTCGAGCACTGAGTAGAAGAAAAGAGCCAATGCTGCTTTTGCAGAGCAGCACAGACGGGCAGCGTGGCTGGGTAGGGGTTTCAGTGCACTTGAGACACTGCTGCCTCTCCCAACCTGTCTTCTTTCTCTCTTTTCTGACATTAGAACTGTTCACATTTGTCATTTCCGTGTTATAACACAAATTAAAAAATCATTTCACCTCCTAAAGAGGTACACCAGGGAGTATGAACAGCAGTGCCTGACAGACCAGGTCAGTGTGGAGATCACAGAGACAGGAGGATTGTGTGTCAGCTGCTCAGCTTGTGCTGTGCTGCACCAATGGAGTCCGTGATTTTAACGGACTAGGTCATTAGGGACACACGGACCGGTAACTCAGCGCAGTCAATGGCCAATAGTGATATGGAGGATTCTCACAGATTCAGCTTATGCGTCCAGGAGGATGACTGGAGGACAGACACCTGTGACCTTTCTACTTATCTACAGCAAGAAACCTGACCACAGTGAACATTTTCACCAGAACATAAGGTGTTTCACAGGCAGGAATGAGAAGTTCAGATCACATGAGGTTATCCCATCTGTAGTCAATGATCTTCCCAGAGCTTGTATAGTATCTTGTTAGGGTTAGCTTTAGCTTGGGGAGAAGCATGTAGGGCTCAGCAGTACCCCTAGCGGACAAGAATACACACTATAAGCAACTACATACTAATTTATATCTGTTTGCTGAGGTATTCTGTAAGCTGGTGTTGTCAGTCAGTAGAGGGCTGAACAGCTCTGCATTATACATCTCCAAACCCCTGAGTGAAGGGAGTTTATTACTTAATGTTTGGTGATGTTTTAAATTTCACTGGAAGTGAGCATCAGAAAAATATTGCAGGCTTTTTTATATTTCAATTCAAATTCAATATACTAGAGACCAATCATCAGGGTAACGATTACTCTCAGCCTTGCCTGGGATACAGAATATATGTGTCAGCACAGCTGTGGAGTAGAACTGTAGGTGACAGGTTATCACATACAATGTAGGGGCATCAAGACCTCAGGAAAGAAGAAATTGTAGGCCTGAGAGATCCTCAGTCCATAAAGTGCTCATCAGGCAGTGTGAGAACCTGATCCCTAGGCTCTGAACCCAAATATCAACAATATGGATGATGACACCACATTCAGTGGGAAGGTGGTGCACACTTGTAATTCCAGAACTGGGAAGGAAGAGACAGGGTGATCCCTGGTATGTGCTAGCCAGCAAGCATTACCAAATGGGTAAGTTTCAATACCAATAAAAGATTCTCCCTGCAAAACCGAGGTAGTCCACAACTAAAGATTGACAACTGAGCTCCACAATAATATGAATGTGCGCATGTGTGCACACACACACACACACAAAGTACAATGGGGTATTGGAAATATTGAGGCTTCACACACACAAAGTACAATGGGGTACTGGAAATATTGAGGCTTCACTGTTCCTAAAGACAATTATATGATAATTCAGTAAGGGTGTAGTAACTGTGCTTTATGACTCTTGGGGTATGCAGGAGAGCATGGGTTCTGTATTAGCAAATAAGACCAGAGTAAAACTACACTTTGGTTCATATCCATGTTGAGACCTTTTTGTGAGCTATAAACTATAAGCATAAGTAATTTTTTCTTTTTGTCTATGGAAGGACAAGAAGAGGAAGCAACCCAGAAAGTTGCCCTCTGGTATGAACTGCAAAAAATAAAATAAAAATTTGTCTAGGGATTTCATCAAGGAGGTCCCATTACGTCAGTGGTGGCTGATTAGAAAATCCCTATGAGGAGGCAGGCTTCACTACATCATGGTCATCCACCAAGGTTGCAATTCCCTTCACAGAAAACACCTTAAAAAAGCACTATTGGCCGGGCGGTGGTGACACACGCCTTTAATCCCAGCACTCGGAGGCAGAGGCAGGCGGATCTCTGTGAGTTCGAGGCCAGGCTGAACAGACAGACTCCAAAATACAGAGAAACCCTGTCTCATAAAACCAAAAAAAAAATCACTATTGGTGCACAGTGCAGAAGATGCCTGTGAAGATATAACTTGGACTAGGGATAGCACCATTTTAAAAAAATGGGGCCCCTCAGCACATCAGCATCACCCTTTCAGAATGGAGAAGCATCATTCTAAAGGAAGTGATCTCCAGCATATCAGGACCAGCCACTCTGGCTATAAAGCCAGGTAAGTCACCACTGGTTCTTTACTTGCAAAAGTCTTCCGCAGAGGTGGCCCTCATTTCATCTGGAAGCCTGTGAAGTCAGAAATCCACACACTTCCAGATACGGAAGAGAGTCAGTATTCGTTGGCCTTGAGCCTATGCACTGGGCAATCTACAGACTTGCAAAAATCAATGGAAGTTCAGCAGAAGGGAGAAACAATCAAGAAGGAGGTGATTAGTTCCAGAACTCTGCCTACTATGACTTTGTTAGGCTCAGTCCATCAGATGCTGTCTCAGTTGGGAATCTCAGGACTACATCTTTTCCAGGTTGCAGCTTTCTGCACATTCTCCGTTACAAGATGGCGCCGACACCCGGCCGTTATGCCCTGCAAACAAGTAGAGTGCGCACGTGCCTGGTACTTTTCCATCCCTTACTCTCTGCCTCTCCCATGGCGTCATATGGGCTGATGAGCAGGAGCCAGTCAGGAGATGACACGTCCAAGGCGGGGACTGCTGGGCTATATAAGGGTTGGGTTTTTCGCTCTATAAGCATATGCTCTCCCTCTCAAGACACATTAAAGCTGTTCTGCAGAAGGATCCTAAGTGTGCCGCGTCGTTCTTGCTGGCGAGACGGTAGCGTGGGACACTATACTCCCACTCTTTGCCATAGAGGAGACTTACTGTGGGAAGCTTCTCTTGAGACAGTTTTTGTCTTGGCACTGAGGCTGGCCCTAGCAGTCTTTGAAATCTAAGTGAAGTTCCTCTGGGCCAACAGCTCTTAGGGGAAGAGGCCAATGTGGCTGAGTATTCCCACGACAGGCTTTGTGCAAGGTGGAAGCTTTGCATTACTGGTAGCTGGGCTCAGTCTATGTCTGAAAGCAGAGACCAGGGAAGCCACCTGTGCGAGCCTCAGTCTGAGGCCAGAGATCTGAGGACCCAGCACAAGTCCACAACCCAGAGTCCAGAGTCCAGCTGACTCAGAGTTATAATGTCTAAGGACAGAGGAAGAGCATATCTGTCCCAGGAGAGATACAGAGGAAAATTTCTTTTGCTCTGCTTGTTGGTCCCATGTAGCTCCTGCCTGGCTGCATGTTGTCCACCTGTGTTGAGAGTGGACCTTGCCCACAGAGCTCAGGCACCCACATACATACCAGTCCTTAGAAATCCCTCATGGTCACATCCAGAAATAATGCTTCAGTAAGGTGGACACTAAGTTCCATGGCCTCAACATCCAGTCACCTGTGGCAGAGGTTAGAGAAGACTTTATGCCCCCTTCGTGGTGCCATCAGGAAAGAGGTCCTCGTGGAGAGGAAACCAATGACTCAGCATTTTCTCATGTTCTCATTTTATAACTGGACTTTTTAAACTAACACCTCTTGGCTTTAGGAAATATTGTTCCGCACACGTAGAGGATTCCTTCCACATAAACAGGACACAACTCTGTTCTGTGTACACATCAAAGAAGAAATAAAAGCCATGTCAGCAGTCAGGACATAGAGATGATGAGTCACTTGGAAGTTCAGCCTTGTCACTCACCTTCCTAGAAATCCATAATGACCATGTATCTAGGATGCGGTGGGTGGTAGAAATGGGTTTTCTCAGCCTTGTCACCTGGATAATGAATGGGAAATATTTTGAAATTAATTAGATGGTATCTGGAAGTTCCTTTAAAATGAAACAGAATGGGACCAGGCAGGTCACAGTACAGATGAAATATGCCTTACATGAGTAATGGAATATTCTGGCACATGTACAGCCCAAATGAAGCCTGGAGACATGATTAGTGATTAGTGATTAGTGATGCAAGTCAGGCAGGAAGGGAAGAACATTATATGATTCTATTCGTACAAACAGAGAGAGCAGAGACTTCTAGGAGAAGCAGAGATTTTTGTTTTGGGATAACACTGGTTACGTTTCCAGCCTTGGTAAACATGCACACACACTGCACTTCTGTGCTTATCTGTGACCCACAACTGAATAAACTGAGAATATCAACATTAAAACAGAAATAGAAACAGTTCCTATTTATCTACAACTTAGCACTGAATTCTATTTCACAGATGTTCATAAAATTTTCTTCCCACAATTCTAATTTTCAATGAATTTCCAGTAGTCACCTTTTTGACATAGGAGAATAAACTATTTATGTTCCTAGTCTAGTTAAGCCAACACATTCACACATTAAAACACATTATTATAAATTTATTTTATTCATTAGAGTATTACAATGATGTGTTTCCCTGAAAGTACATGAAAGTCAATCAAATTGATCTGTGAGTTTCATTTCTGGTTAGTAAATTAATATCACACAGTCACTTTACTATAAGAAGGGAAAATGTAAAGCAATCTGGTTGAGAACTAGCTTTCTACATGGGATATTTGTATTTCTAAAAGAATCCTGCATTGATTTTCACTTACCTTTCACAAAGGAACTTTGAAAGCAGCAAAATGAGTCCCACGCATCACCAGTCCACTGGAAGATAGTCTTTCCACCTGTTACATAGGATCGTTGTTGGCCAAATTGCATGTTAGCCTTGTCCTCTTCAAGGAATTAAGGTGCCTTTATGGTGGACAGCCAATCCCATACAACATGTCCCTTCTCTCTGCTCGGCCTTTTCCCACTCAACCTATACACCTCCTAATAACCACCTCTACTTTCCTTCTTCCTGTTTCCATTTCTCAAAAATAGATAAACAGCAACAAAACAATGTAGCAATCTCCAAATATAAGCAACACCCCAAACCAGGTATGGCCAGAACTTCTGTGTACTTGATAAAACAACCTGAAGTCAAATATTAAGGAAACATGAAGGACAAATGAGCAAGACTGGGATTATGCCGGAGCAAGAAAGATTCTAAGAGGAGGGGAGAGGAAACAAGAGATGAGACTGGAGTATTTTTTCCACATGTGGAAATGTGTGTGTGTGTGTGTGTGTGTACATAGGTTTATATGCATACACACATATATGCCTGAATATATAAGGTTGATAATTTGGGAGAAGGAAACCAGTGGGAGTTGCAAAGGACACAGAAGAGAATAGTGGGGAGTGAACACGAGCAAAGTATAATGGTTACATCATGAAGATTTTGTTTGCTAACTAAATTTGTTAATGAAAACACTAAGGAGTAATAAACACCAGCGGGAAGAGGCCAAGCTCCAGCCTTTCCATACACAGTAGTCTTCACATAACTGACACCAATTCTGTCAGTAGAAATCTGGTTCTTAAAATGAACAACCTGCACATCACAGTCACACCAGGGGACACCGTGGAGAGTAAGACTGGGGCTTGTTTCTGTAGATCAATTACAGCTAAGCAGGGCTCATTCGGTGTGCCTGAAGCATGAGCGTGAGGACCGAGTGGCAAGAGAGGGCTGCAGAAAGAGGACCCCAGACCATCAGAGTCTTGTGTTCCATGCCACGAGGGGTTTCTTTGTGTAACTCTTAAAGCAATGCTGTCTATGACCAGACTCACAGTTTCAACCGCATCTCAGTTTTAAACAACTACATAAAAGTACCTAAGGAATGGATTAGAGAGAGAAGGGCAGAAAAATGAGTATCTGTAGAACTTGTCTGCAGTTATGTCAGGCAAGTTCTGAACAGGACTGTGAGGGGGAAAGTAGACACAGTATATATTCCGGGAATAAAACTAAAGAATGATTAGTAAAGGACAGCCTGGTCACCCCTGGAGATAATACGAAGAGCCACAAGGACAGAGTGTATCCAACTCAGACTGGATCCCTCACACAGTCAGCAGGACTTAAACAACCTTAGCACTGTGGAACCCTGTGATCAAGGGCCAACCCAGTACTGGCAACAGCACCATTCCGGGCATGCCCGAGCTCCACAGATTGGGACCATACAAATGAGGGGAGGCAGCATGGGGACCACTGGGAGGTGGAAGACAGGCAGGTCCCCGAGAACACCGAGACCCCATGGCGGTGGAACCAGGCAGGAACCAAAGCCTCTAACCTTTTCTGGACATGGTTCCCTTCCTTCTTCCTGAGTGGATCACGTCCATGAACCCACCACGACAATTAACGCCATGATGCCCCTGGCTCATGTAGGCGCTGCGATGCTGCCCACTCAACGGGGACAGCCCTAACGGCAAGCAACGACCTCCTTGAGGCCTCGAGATTCAGAAGCCAACGATCAACGCTCTCCTAGGCGCGCGCCTTGCTAGTGCACATGCGCTCCAGCCCACCATGATGACAACCGTGGCGAGGTTTGTCAGCAGGCCTGTGGTCCCACAGCACCTGTAGCTTGAGGCCTGTGGATCAGGTAGTGCACTGTACTCTGGGGTGTTATGATAAAGCGCAAGGGGAACCTTGGCAGATTGCATGGCAGGTGAGGGTGACCAAGCCGGGGGACAAACACACCAGGCAGACAGAGCTTAAGTGAGAAGTTTTATTAGAAAGGGGATGGAGGGGGAAGGAACGAGAGAAGAGGTAAAGAGACAGAGAGAGAGGACAGAAGAGAAGAGGGAGATGGAAAAGTCCTGTCTGCCTCCATGGGAACAGCGGGAAAGAGAGCATAAGTGGGCAGGGGGGTCTTTCTTTGGGGTCCTTTGCACCTGCCTGCAGACTAGTACTCATGGAACCCTGGGTGGACCAGGGTACTGCCTGAGTGCTATCTGCCAGGTGACAGGGGCAGGCCAGCATATTGCCTGAATCGTTACAAGGAGTAGCTCCAATCTCAGGACAGGGGACAGAAAAGTTGAATCCTCCTCCAACCCTGCTGCAGACACCTGTGAGGTCTTTAGGACACTGTCAATCGTCATCAATTTTGTATATCGTTCATAAATATGTATTTCACACATGTATCCTTTATCTGTCCAAAAGCAATATATTACATTTTACAAATTTCTCCTAATCTATGCACATACATACTTAGTATATCCATTCTAGTTTTAAAGACCACAGAACTTTTCTGTCATTTCACTGACTATAATCTACAGCCTAAAAATATCATAGTTTAACTGTCCGATATTGACATACCTCCTGCCTATTTTGGAGGTTTCCATTTGTTTCAGTTGCGATATTGATCTTGGTATAGAAAGTGCTGCACTGTGAATACCATTTTAAGTGTGGACTATATCTAAATTTCTAGATGTAGAATTGCTAGAATGAAAGAAACACACACTAATGCTCTCAGAAATACTGACTGACTGCCTCCCAAAAATTCTATCAGCCCATCCTTCCATTCCGTCAGTTTTACTAGAATCACATACCTGGTATCATGATAACTGTGGACAATATGGTTTTATGTTATAACCAATACCAACAGAGACCTGAAATCACCTGGAGTCCAAGAGTTTCACATAATGTTATGCACAGAGAACTATGGGTAATAATATGAATTCAAGAGGAAGGCTAAATGACAGGACATATGAAGTTAGAATATTGGTGTATGCTTGTTACAAATTGAAATGCAGAAATTTATGATAGGACTTTCAAAAGTAAGTTTTCCCTTTCGGTTTGAAATTTCTGTAAGTAGCTTACACACACTGTTAATATGTTTCACAATCTTAGATCTAAGTAAATGAGAGACAGGTCAGTTACTGAATGAACGAGTAGATGAATGGACAAAAGTCACTAAGTATACATGGGGGAGGACTATATTCTAACCAGTTTTAAAGCCATTTACAATTCTGAAAATTCTCCCAATGCCAGCACTTGGGAGTCAGAGGCAGGTGGATTTCTATGGGTTCAAGGCAGGCCTGGTCTACATAGTAAGTTCCATGCCAGTCTACATGGACTTGCCACAAAAAAAAGAAGAAAAAGAAAATTCTCCCATAATTAAAATATATCAATGCTTTCAATATTGCTATTTGGAAAAAAGAAATGTTTGTAGGCCTATGCTCATTCCAAATTGGCATTAAATTATAAAATACTCCCTTGAGAAGGTATTAAATTTGTTCATATGTGGCCCAATGTATAGTACAAATGTCTGCTAGCATGATGACATACAAGCCTGGCATAAATATGTAAAAACTAAATTGAGCCGGATGGTGGTGGTGCATGCCTTTAATCCCAACACTTGGGAGGCAGAGGCAGGCGAATCTCTGTGAGTTCAAGACCAGTCTGGTCTACAAGAGCTAGTTCCAGGACAGCCTCCAAAGCCACAGAGAAACCCTGTCTCAAAAAACAAACAACAACAACAAAACTAAATTGATTTTATCCTGCTTACTTTTTAATTAACTTAACATCAATGTAGACATATCTAGGAAGAAGTAATCTTACTTGAGAAAGTTCTTCCATAAGATTGACCTACAGGTGAATCTATGGGGCATTTTCTTGAATCATGTTTGAAGTAGGACAGCAAAGCAAACTGTAGCCAGTGCCATCCCTAGGCAGGTGGTCCAGGTATGTACAAAAAAAGCAGTCTGAGCAAACCATAGGATGCATGAGAGTAAGCAGCACCTTCCCATGAACCCCACTTTAGTTCCTGCTTCCAGGCTAGTGCTGTGATTGGTAATGAAGACAATCACAGTGGGGAGGTGGGCACTGGTGCAGCATGGTCATCTACAAAGGCTGAGCCTCTTGTATGGGAACCAGACTTGCCAAGCCACTGCCAGTGTGTGGCCTAGAGGAAGCCTCTGATGAGTTAGCCCCCAGCACATCGGCATCAGTCACTCAGACTAGGGAAAGTGTGATGCTGACAAGGCAAGGTTAGTCACCACAGGTCCCTGACTTGGAAAACACTTGTGTAGACGTGGTCCCCATTGCATCTGGGTCATCCACACAGGTGTGAGACGAGCTCACTGGTAACGTGAGGCAGCGCTGGTGGACAGGTGTCTGAGTCTGGAGCCCTGAGATCCACAGAGAATGCTGTGTCCCCTTGTCCTTGTCCTCAGACTTTGCTTCCATGCTCCCACTTACTCTGCTGTGGTGACAGAACCTCGAGTGATGAGTGCTGTTTGTGTGTCCTGCCCCCCTGACTGTCGTGTACAACTGGTGTTTAACTTAAGGCAGGTCAGTTTTCTGAAAGCTTGTTGGAAGTCAGACCCTCACTTTTTAAGGCTTCAATAGAGATTTGAAGACTCCAAAGTATCTACTGAAATCATCTCCATAAGGAATGTGTTGTGCTGCACTGTTATTCTCTGAAAGCCAGACTCTCGGAAAATCTTGTGACTTAGGGAGAGATGTGAAGTCAAGAGAATTTCAGTTGTATGTGATTATTTTCAGCATCTGGTAGACCCTCATAGGAAACCCTCATATAGCCAGGGAGATGTTGACTTCATGGATGAAGCAGGAGCAGTGACTGTGTTAGGGCCTGGGATGGAAGCTCCTGAAAGCACGTGAACACCAGGTAGGGTTAGCCACATACAAAGTTCTCTTAAGGTGAGGAGATGTGAAGACAGAGAGTCCCTGGCTTCTGACCAGCACCAGAAGCTAAGACAAGAAAATGGTGAGTTTGAGGCTAAACCTGAGTTACACAACAAGACCACCATCCTCCAAAAACAGAACAGTGTCTTGGGGATGAATATTATGGCGATGGTAAAGACTACTGTCTTGATGAGCTTAGCTCTCAGGGAAGAGAGATGAGGCAGCTCTTGGTAGAGCTGTGTTGGCAGAGTGCATACAGTTTGGACACATATTTTGACCTGGCCTTACTTTTCCAAAAGCTTTGTGTGTTAAAATATAGCCTACTCTCATGAGTGTACATGGTCTAACTGCAGTTTCATAAATCATTAAACAAAACCTATGTTTCCACACTATTTAAGTAAGGAAACAGGACCCTGCTAGGAACCTGTCCCACCCTTCCAACTTTGTACGTGCAAGAGTGAGCCACCTCCTGCTTACACCACCTTAAGCTACTTCCTGCTCCTAGCTTTCCTTAAGTGGGCATTCCTGCATGCTCTACTTGAACACTGTTTGGGTCTAGCCTTCTTGAAATCCTTCTTGAAACAAGTTGTCATTTTTACATATGACTTCCTTGCCTTAACCTCTCCAAGTTTCAACCACACTCTGGGTATGTAGTTATCTGATGTGTTTTTACATCTGGTGCACCAATGGAGGAGCCAGGAGAGATCCAGAGGGGTAAAATTATATAACAATAGTACAGTACCACATCAGAACTTTACAAGGCATTCATCTTTGAACAAGGAGAAAGCACACAGGTCTCAGATGCTGACCTCATGTCTGATGTAGTCACGGGAACTCTTGGTGGAGCTGGAGTCAGAGTCTGCTGTGAGCAGGAGGGAAGCAGAGAGGGTTCAAGGCTGGAGAACAAAGGTTACTGTTTAGACATCAGGCAGAACTAAGCATAGATGATAGAGGGATTTGGCCTCAGGGAGGGACCAGCTAGGAAGAAACTGAGATATAGATGACTTTTCTTCATCATTTCTTCATATTGAGATTTAAAACAAAATAAACTTCAGGAGGACAAAGTGAAATGCCCCCCTCTTTCTTCTCCACCAACAGATCAGCATTTCCTTCATGATGCCCCAAGCTCAGCCTCAGGCCTCTCCATACTTGGCTTCTTCTACTCCCCTGAGCTTTTCAAATTGATTTTACTATATGTGTTCTAGGGATTTATTATAATGACAGAATGCACATATTCTACTTTATTTTTATGAGAAAAATTGAATATACCTATGTATGATTATAACATGATATTTTGAGATGCTAAGTTGACTTAGTGCTACATTAATATATATTTTATCTTTTTATATAAGAACAGCATTACATTTTATCTGTACATTGAGCTGTTAAAGCTCCTCAGCTGTAAAGAGAAGCCTTCCTTGAGAGAAGCCTTCCTGCCAGCCTGATTCCAGAGCCGCATCAGGCCCAAATAAACACACAGGATGCTGTTTTAATTATGAAGCTGTTGGCATTGTTTGTTTCTTACTGGCTAGCTCTGACTTAAGTAATTACCCCATAATTGTTGATCTAAGTATTTCTCTTACCGGAGAACTTTCCGGGCTTCCTACCCCATGGCATTACATCTTGACTCTCTGTGTTTTCTCCCGTGTTTCTCCTACCCAGAGTCCTCCTGGATTCCTAGTCCCACCTATCTTGGTTCCCTATTGGCCAACAGTGCTTTATTGACATATACACAGGACTTCCCCCATCACTCGGCCCTGCCTTCTGTGAAGGAAGCTGGGCTCACTGG